TAGTGACACAGATAGCCAAAGGAGAAGATGGAAGGAAGGTTGGGCTTTAACAGGATAAGTGGATGCTGAACTGGCAAAAGGAACAGATGTGCTATGTAGTTCTAAACCATCACTTGGGGAAGCTTAAAACACCAAAGCTGCTCACCACGTGTGAGTGAAATGGTTCATTAAATCATTATGATCTTCACCCACAAGTTCTGTCCTCAGCAATTTTGGTGAGTGTAAGATTTAGCACACTCTAAATATGACATTCAATTTTGGATATATGACTTCATCCTGGTCATGTTTGTCAAGTCTAAATCTTCCTGGATTAGTTACTTTACTGTGGTTATTTGTGATTAACTACAGGACACAGAGAATCCAGTGATCGTGGGTTAGTCCTGGAGCCCCTGCCAAAGCATCCCAACCCTTTGACGTGTAACTGCTCCATGTAAAGCACTGACTGTATCAAGCTTTCAAGTATAGGCTTCTGTTTACGGTGAATACCACTATCCACTTAAATTCCTTAAAGCACAGGGAGGTCTGGGTGGCTCAGTGGGTTAAGCATCTGCTTTCCGCTCAGGTCATGATCGCAGGGTCCTGGGACTCGTGGGGCTCCCTGCTCAGTAGGGAGTCTGCTTCTCCCTCTGATCCCCTCCCCTGTGCTCTCTATCACTCTCTCTCTCAAATAAATACTATCTTAAAAAAAAAAAAAGAATAAGGAACAATGAGGGGGGCCAGGTGGCTCAGTTGGTTAAGCATCTGCCTTCGGCTCAGGTCATGTTCCCAGAGTCCTGGGATTGTGTCCTGCATCAGGCTTCCCACTCAGTGGGGAGACTGCTTCTCCCCCTCCCTCTGCCACTCCTCACCACACATGTGGGCTCTCTCTATCAAATAAATAAAATCTATTTTTAAAAAATAGAATAAGGAACAATGACACTTATATCTGCATCCCCAACACCAAATAGTTCCTGACATGTAGTACGTCATTAATAAACATTTGTTGTATTAAACTACAATCGAATGAACTTTGAGTAGGTAATGCAGTAACCCACTCATGTATAAATAGTAAAAATTTTCTGTGACTCAAGAGTCTTGCTCCTATAAAATGCAATTACGTTGTAAATACCTTCCAGTTTTCTGAAATTGAGGAAAGTATTGGTAGTAAATCAATTAAAATTATTTATTCTAAGAATATTAGTCAGGATCTAGGCAACAGAACAAGAAACCACAGAGGTATTTTACCAGAGAATTAATATGTGGAGTTGTTTCACAGATGTTAGCAGAAACAGGACATGAGGAGAACAATCATTGCAGGAAGCAGTTACCACCAGCAGGGTGGGAGGAACCAATGGGCCCCATTTGGGATTACTAGAAGCTGGTGACTCAGATGATCAAATCCCACTTCTGGGTGTACCCAAAAGACTGAAGTCAGGGTCTCAAAGAGATATCTGTATATCCATAGCAGCATTATTCACAATAGCTAAATAAGAAACATGAAATATGAAAATAGAATGCCAATTGCCACGGCAATGGAAAGTTACCGTACACTGGGTACAGCGTTGCCATTTTACAAGATGGCAGAGCTCTCAGATGGTGAAGACGGCCGCACAACACCATGAAAGCTCCGGATACCACTGGGCTGTCCACTCGAAATGGTAAAGATAGTACATTTCATGTTACTTGCCTCTTACCACAATTTAAAAACAAAGAAAAGACTGACAATACCAAGCTTACAATGATGTGGAGTACCTGAGACTCTCCTTATTTTGTTGAGGAGCATGCAAATGGTACAGCCATTGTGAGAAACCATACGGCGCTGCCTTGGAAGGTTACACATGCATTTGCCTTGTAATCCCACCATCCCAGCTCTAGGAATTTACCCACCTAGGTGTGCTGGCCGAGGAACTTTTTGATAAGCAGGGCTCAGGGATGGGGGGAAGGGTAACGTGAGACGTACTTGTGGTGTGGGTGGACTTCATCAATGTGAATACCCAGTTATGATACTGTACCGTAGTTTGGCAAGATGTTATCATCGGTGGAAATTGGGCAGTTTACAGGATCTTTACAGCAGCATGTGAATCAGCAATTACCAAAAAAAAATAAATAAATAATAGTAATAATAATAAAATAACTAAAAGAAAGAAAAAAATTCCCGATCAGTATAAGAAATAATTTTCCTGGTTTCACACAGACAAAAAAGGGTAGAACTCAGATCTGAGTCCGACTGGCCCTCCTTCTCATGCTGTCTCCATCCTCTGAGACCACCATTGGGTGGCTGCACAATGTGGTGGGAAGAGGGCTGCTCTGGCAGTGGGAAGCCTGGCTCCCTGAGGAGGACCCTCTGAGCGTTGCTTAGGGCTCTGAGTGACTCAAAGGATGTGCTTTCACTGAGAAGCTTTGAGTGAACCTATAAATTTACATGTTTTCAGTATGGAAAACCTTTTAGTAGGGAAAATGAAGTTCCCATCTGAACAGAAAGTAGTCTACAGGTTATCAGTAGCATGGTGATAAGAACAGTAAAGGCTAACACGGAACACTCAGCCCTCACAATGACTTGGGAGGTCGCTAAGCATAAAGAGGTTGAGTCACTTGCCCGAGTCCTCACAGATGGCTCATAGCAGAGCTAGAGGCCCCATCCGGCTCCAGAGTTCACGCTCTAAGTAGGATAATCAGGTTGGATGAAGAAAAATAAGTATGTTGCTGTGTGAAGTGCAGGATTTCTTATTGTTTGGGGGAAATATTGTTTAAATGTGTATTTTTTAGAAGAACCGTGTGGATTCATTTTAGATGCCTCCCGGTGCCTCACTGCTAATACTTGATAAGCCATTCCTTTGAAACCTGCTTACAGTAATAGGATTTCCTCCTGTGGTTGTAACTGTGACCTTCACTCAATCCTCGGCATGTATGCCGCTTAAAGATGACCTTATGAAACTAGATCTTTTGGGTCAACAGATGCTTAAAAATTCAATGGTTGACCTGGGAGATGTATCTAAGGGCCCAGTGGTTTCTGTTTGTACAGAGTTACTTAGACAGCAGTGAATAAGCACCACAAAGTTGAGAGGACTTGAAGTATTAACTCCATTCGAGAAACGAATGCAGTTTTATAACAATCTATCTGAAAAGAAATCTCGCTTTAAGCGAAGAGTATTTTTAAAATGCAATTAATTCACGCTCCCTGTCCTCTCCCCCACCTTGTCACACCCATGAATATTTCTGTTTCAATACTGGGTTTTCTTAAGGTGGATGTCTATTTCTTTTGCCAGGGAATTGGAGTTCCCCAATTTGAAGCCATAGGGGGGTGTGGCAGGTGGAAAGAATAGAAATCAGAATTGAGACCCAGGTTCTTGCCTGTTGGCTGCCCAGAGCAAAAAAAAAAAAAATTTTTTTTTTTTTACTCTGAATGCCTCACATACGTTTTTTAAGGATTTTATTTATTTATTTGTCAGAAAGAGAGACACCAAGAGCAGGAACCCAAGTAAGGGGGAGTGGAAGAGGGAGAAGCAGGCTTTCCACCGAGCAGGGAACCCGACATGGGGCTGGATCCCAGGACCAGAGCCAAAGGAAGACACTTAACAACTGAGCCATTCAGGTGCCCCTCATTACACATTTTCTGTGTCTGTTTCCTCAAATGCCAGGTGTGCCTTCTCGTCTTCCCAGACCTATTAGAAGTATTTTGAAAAGCCCTCCATGTTCTCCTATCTAGTTTCCTTCTTGTTTTAAGTGGGTTGGGAAGGAAAATCATTTCATGGGCACACACAGAAAATAGTTAATAACTGTCACTTAGGGACACTTACGTTTCAGGCTCAATAACCATATTATCTCCAATCTTTATAATAATCCTACATGGTTGGATATATTAACTGGCTGGAATTATTAACGGCCTCATTTTATAATAGAAGCTGAGTGTGGGGAGGCAGGAGCACCGGCCATGCACACTGACATGGTGTTTAATGTCAGGGAAAGTCACTTCCTGGTCCCCTGTGCCCAGCATGGTGGCTGACGTGCACCAGCTCTCAGGAAAAGCCTGCTTTCCAAACAGCTGTGTTTGTGTCACAGCTTTAAGCTGGAGTTCAGAAAGTTATTAATATGCTTTCCTATTTCTTCAGTCTCATAAATTTACCTCTGGAAAATTAACTTTTTTTCCAGTATATAAGGACTCAAAATCATAAAGCACGGAAATGTGCATAGATTGCCTTATTTAAGATAAGTATGGTGGGCAATCAACTGTTCAAGGTGGCAAAGAGATGTCCACTTTGAGGTTTTGAAACTCTGTTTCCTGACGAAGTATCATCGTATACACTGATTCATCCGCTGGTAGCTCAGGGCCAGCCACAGAACTCCCCCAAGGTTTTAATGTTAATATTGCTGAGCTCTTAAGGCATTTGGGTCCAAGGGTGAAAGTACCGGATCCTTGCTTTAAAATCTGGAAATGCAAAAAAGGGACTGGGGTTGTTAAAGGAAGATTCAGAAACAAAGAAGGCTTCTAGAAGAGGAGGTGCTTTAAAAGGATGGCTTGCCATATGTAAAATGCAGTAAATATTTATTTTATTTTTTTAGAGAGAGAGAAAGTACATGCACGAGTGGGGTGGGGAGGAGGAGGGGGAAAGGGAATCTCAAGCAGGCTCCATGCTCAACACGGAGCCCAGACACAGTACTGGATCTTATGACCCTGAGATCATGACCTGAGCCGAAATCAAGAGTCAGACCCTTGACCCATTGAGCCACCCAGGTGCCCCTGCAGTAAGTATTTAAAGGGAAAAACACACAAAAAATAACTAAGGTTACATTAATTGGGGATGAAAATACTTTATTTCACTATTGGCTAGGCTCACATGTAAAGTCAAGGATGAGAGCCCTTATTTAATTTACAGTTGTTTTCCCATACTTATATTAATTCACTAGTCTTGGGATAAAGGGAAAGGTTACTTACATGCCTGGTTCTGGAACGTTTGGCAGTGATCTGTCACTTTAGGTTGTTCACAGATGGTCTTCATTATTGCCATTCCCTATAGTGCCTCCAGAGCACGGGCTCTGCAAATCGGGGGGCTTGGGTTTAAAACCTGCCTTTGGACAGCCCTGGATACCCCAAACAACCCTGGAAGGCTTGTCTCCTTGGACCAACTTCTCTGAACCTCAGGTTCTTCTTACATAAAATGGGGCCTTTAATAACTCCAACCAGTTCATCTATCCAACCATGTAGGATTATTATAAAGCTTGGAGATAGTGTGGTTCCAGAGCCTGAAACGTGAGTGTCCCTAAGTGGTAGTTATTTAACTACTTTCTGTGTGTGCCCGCGAAATGATTTCCTTTCCAAATCCACTTAAAGGAAGGAAGGGAGGGAGGGAGAAAAAGCTTCCAGCATTGCTCTGTGTTCAGTACTTGGAGGAGATGTCAGTGCCCAGCCTTGGGGAGGTTAGTTCTCCTGAGTGTCAGAGTTGCACACAGAGGGAGTAACTGGACTCCTGTGAGAAGAAAGCATAATGACAAGTCTCATCTTCCCAGGGGGCTCTAAAAAAAAGAGGGCTCTACACTGTGCATTGTAAGTGTTTGGGGTCAAACTCCCCGTGCCCTATATTTTCATTAAAAAATCCTGACAACTGGGGCACCTGGGTAGCTCAGTCAGTTAGGTGTCTGTCTTCTGCAGGGGTCATGATCCTGGGGTCCTGGGATCCAGCCCCACGTCAGGGCTCCATGGTCGGCGGCATGTCTGCTTCTGCCTCTGCCCCTCTCCCTGCTTGTGTTCTCTTGCTCACTCTCTCTCTCAAATTTAAAAAAACAACAAAAACAACCTTTATTTTTTTTTAAAGATTTATTTATTTATTTATTTATTTGTCAGAGACAGAGGGAGAGAGAGTGAGCAAGCACAGGCAGACAGAGAGGCAGGCAGAGGCAGAGGGAGAAGCAGGCTCCCTGCCGAGCAAGGAGCCCGATGTGGGACTTGATCCCAGGACGCTGGGATCATGACCTGAGCTGAAGGCAGCCGCTTAACCAGCTGAGCCACCCAGGCGTCCCAAAACAACCTTTATTTTAAAAAAGTTCTGACAACCACCCCTACATGTTAGGTAGTTTCAGCAAAACAGGAGCAAAGGTTCTGGACTCACTGCTTATGTTCCCACCCCCACTTTGCAACTCGCTAGCTTTGTGTCCTTAGACAAAGGACTTAGCCATTCTAGAACTCACCTTCCTCGTGTGAAACCTCGTGATAATATTGGTGCCCATCTCCCAGGGTTGTTGTGAGGCTCACGTATGAAATATTCTGAACATAATGCCTGCCGGGAAGAAAACACTAGTTAAACGGTTGTTGCTATCGTTGTTTAGGCAATAGTAATTATCTTGCACAATTATCAAACACTAGGAAGAAGCTAGAAATGTTAGTCTTCTGACTCCACATGCCAGGCTCTTTCTCTTTTACCATGTGTTACACTACGGAATGTTTATTTGCCTCCTTCAGGGATTAAAATACCTCCATGCTGTTTGTGTGACCCGGGGACACTGAAGGAGTCTCTCTGATTATGGCAGTTACAAATGAAAGATCACCTTAAGGAGAAAAAGATAATGTTGTCTCACTGTTCTTTGCTCTTGCTTGAGAAGAGCCACATGTCGGACCATGTCTCAGTTACCAAGAACTCCACTTGCCAGGAGTTCTATTTCTCTGGTATTAAAACAAATTTCAGGGTGCCTGGGTGGCTCAGTGGGTTAAGCCTCTGCTTTCGGCCCAGGTCATGATCTCAGGGTCCTGGGATCGAGTCCCGCATCGGGCTCTCTGCTTGGCAGGGAGCCTGCTTCCTCCTCTCTCTCTCTCTCTGCCTACTTGTGATCTCTCTCTGTTAAATAAATAAATAAAAATCTTTAAAGATCTCTGTCAAATAAATAAATAAAAATCTTAAAAAAAAAAAAAAACCCACAAATTTCAGTCCTGCCAACCAAGAGCACTGCCGGTGATTTGAGGGCATTGCCTGTTAGAGAGGCCACAGTATCTTCTCTGTTTGGTGCTAAATGGTGACATCAACTGTTTGTCTCCCTTTCAAAGTTACCCTCTAATATTTCGCTCCAGCTTCCTCCAAACAAAACAACTGGTGCAGCTGCCAGTCACGCTGGCTTTCTGGTTCACTGCCTACTTAAGCGTAAAGAAATGGCGTCCTTGCTCCCTTATTTTAACTACTGCTGGGCTTGGCAGAGTTCCAGGCTCCTTGGGTACTGAACCTTGCAGAGTCCATAAAGTTAATTTTCCAAACTCACTGCAGCCTGGTATGAACTTCAGACGAGGCGGCACTGGAGGAAGTCACACTGACTTTCCCATACCACTTAAAAATATATTTTTTTAACTTGTCAAAAAGAAACATTCATCAGCATAGACTATAGGCTGGGCCATAAAACAAATCTTAATACACTGCAAAGAATTTAAATCATACAAAGAGAGTTCTCTGAAAAGAATGCAATTCGGATTCTAGACATCAGTAATAAAAAGATATCTAAAAGTCCCCAAGTAGTTGGAAATTAAACGACACACTATGGGCCAAACTGGAAGTCACAAGATAAGTTGGAAAATACTTTGAGCTGAATGAAAATAAAAATACAACATATTAAGGTTTCTGGGATGTGTTTTAAAGTATTGCCTAGGGGCGCCTGGGTGGCTCAGGGGGTTAAAGCCTCTGCCTTTGGCTCAGGTCGTGATCCCAGGGTCCTGAGATCGAGCCTTCCATCGGGCTCTATGCTCAGCGGGGAGCCTGCATCCTCCTCTCTCTGCCTGCCTCTCTGCCTACTTGTGATCTTTGCCTGTCAAATAGGTAAATAAAATCTTAAAGTATTGCCTAGAGGGTCCCCAGGGTGGTTCAGTCAGTTAAATGTCTGCTCAGGTCATGATCCTAGGGTCCTGGGATCAACCTCTGCACTGGGCTCCCTGCTCAGTGGGGAGCCTGCTTCTCCCTCTCTGACTTCTCCTGCTTGTGTTCCCTCTCTTGATATCTCTCTCTCTGTCAAATGAATAAATAAAGTATTAATAAATAAAGTAGAGCTTAGAGGGAAATGTATGGCATCGAATGCTTATAAACAACAGGCACCTAGGTGGCTCAGTGGGTTAAGCCTCTGCCTTTGGTTCAGGTCATAATCCCAGGGTCCTGGGATCGAGCCCCGTATCAGGCTCTCTTCTCAGCAGGGAGCCTGCTTCCCCCTCTCTCTCTGCCTGTTGCTCTGCCTGCTTCTCTGCCTACTTGTGATCTGTCAAATAAATAAATAAAATCTTTTTTTTTAAAAAAGGCTTATAAACAAGAAATATGTAAAATTAATGATCTAAGTTTCCATCTTAAAAAAAAAACTAGAAAAAGCATCTAAAAGCAAGACAAGCAGAAAGAAAAAGATAAAATCAATGAAATTGAAAAACAGAAAAATCAGAAAATCAACTAAACCAAAAGCTGTTTTTTTTAAAAGATCAATGAAATTGGTAAGACTTAGTCAAACTGATCAAGAAAAAGGGGGAAAAATTTACTGATCTCAAGAATGATAAGAGAGAACACCATTATATATCCTATAGATATTAAAAGGATAATAATGTGATAGTATCATATATGAACAACATTAAAAGGATGATGGTGTAATATTATGATATATGAACAACTTTATAGCTGTAAACTCCAATATCTAGACAAAATAGACAAATTCCTTGAAGATACAAGCTACCAAGACTCACTCAAGAAGAAATAGATACGCTGAATAGCCCTATATTTTATTAAAGAAATAGAACTTGTATTTTAAAACATTTCAGTAAGGAAAACTCCATATTCAGATGGCTTTATTGGAAAATTCTAACAAACGTTTAAGGAATGAATAATACCAATTTGATGTTAACTTCTCCGGAAAACAGAAGAGAAGGAAACACTTCCCCACTCATTTTATGAGATCAGTATTATCCTGACACCAAAACTAGACAAAGACATTTTGAAAACCATAGATCAATATCTCTGAAAAATATTAATGCAAAAATCCTCAATAAAATGTGACTAATTGACTCCAGCAACATATCGAAATGATAGAACACCATAACCAAGTTGGGTTTATCCCAGGAATGCAAGCTTTGTTTAACATTTTTATTTATTTATTTACAAAGATTTTATTTATTTATTTGACACACTCGGAGTGCACACAAGCAGAGGGAGGGACAGGCAGAGGAAGAAGCAGGATCCCTGCTGAGCAGAGAGCCAGACATAGGGAATCCAGGACCCTGGGATCATGACCTGAGCTGAAAGCAGACACTTAAAGGACTGAGCCACCTGCCCCTTTTTTTGTTTTGTTTTTGAGATTTTATTTATTTATTTGACAGAGAGAGAGAGAACATGAGCAGGGAGAGGGGCAGAGGGAGAGAGAGAAGCAGATTCCCTGCTCAACAATGAGACCAACTCAATCTTACAGCCCCCCGAGATCATGACCTGAGCCGAAATCAGACACTTAACTGACTGAGCCACCCAGGTGCCCCTCAACATTTTTAAATCTATGAATGCAATTCACTATATCAACAGACTAAATAAGAAAAATCATGCTCAGGTACTTTCCTCCTAAGATCAGTCACAGAAATGTCTGCTCTCACCATTCCTGCTTGATGTCACATGGGAGGACCTATCAAGTGCAGGATGGCAAGAAAAAGAAAAGGTATACCAGTTAGGAAGAACTAAACCTATCCACGTTTGCTGGTGACATGACTGCCTACATAGAAAACCCCAAGGAATTTACAAAAAGCTAGAACTTGTGAGAAAACATCCAGAAGGTAAATAAGCATATGAAAAACTGCTCAGCATTAGTTATTAGGAAAATGCAAATTAAAACCACAGGATACAATTACCTACCTATTAGAATGGCTAAAATCAAAAGACCTGAATAGGAGTGTTGGCAAAGATGCAGAGTAATTGGAACATTGCTGGCAGAAATGTAAAATGGCATAGTCACTTTGGAAAACATTTTGGCAATTACTTACAATAACATGTATTTATCCTGTGACCCAGCAGTACTCCTCCTAAGTATTATTTTCCCAAGAGAAAGGAAAACATATGTTCACACAAAAGACCATGCATGAATGTTTATAGTGGCTTGATTTATAATCACCAAGACTAGAAACAACTCAAATGTTCTTCAGCTGGAAATAGATAAACAAAGTCTGGTTTTTATAATGGAATACCACTCAGCAATAAAAAAGAATGAACTATGGAGATACTCAACTACATGGGTGAATCTCAAATGCATGTTAAGTAAAAGAAGTTTAGTTAGTCTCAAAAGGTTGCATTTATATGACATCTTGGAAAAGGCAAAGCTATTGAGACAGAAAACACATCAGTGGTTGCCATTAGCAAACAATTTCTAGGAGGTTCACAGACCACCTGTAGCTCATCCCTGGACCCCATCTATATGCTACTCCCTGGTCCGGGAAGCCACCCATTCCTCTCTTCCCAGCTCCTTCCTGAAACCTATCCAGATTTACCTTCAGTGGCATGCTGCTTGGTGCGGGATTGGTCCCCGTTTTATAAACGGTCCCCGTTTATAGACCGTATAACATTCTTCTCTCCTCAGGTATCACTTCCAGGGCAAACACCCATCTCAGTGCTGGGCGTATGGAATGAGCTAGATGATGAAGTACTGACTGAGGCAGTCTGCCTAGTAGCAAACTATTTCATTCTTTCCCCAAATCCATGAACTTCCCACCATTGTGCTCAGACTTGAGTAAATAGGAGCCATCTGAGAGAAGGATGGGAATATGGAACCTAAAACAGGGACACCTGGCTGGCTTGGTCGGTAGAGCATAGGACTCTTCACCTCAGGGTCCCGAGTTTGAGTCCCACCTTTGACCTGGGGATTACTTAAAACAAAAATACCTAAACCAAGCTGGGCTCTGTCCATCTGCGTCTGCCACATCAGAAAGGCCAGCTGCATAGGAAGTCGATGATGACAGACCCCCAGGCTAATGGAGGGAAGTGCTGACTTTAACCAGTTTCAGTCTTCATACCTCCCCCTCCCTCTTTTCCTCTCTCTCTCTCTGCCTTTCATTCATTCATCATTGGTTGGCGGGATGCTACAGTACTGATCGGGACAGACACAAAAGCTGTCCTCAAGGCGTTTGTAACCTAGCAAAGCGTACGGGGGAAGTAATCTGTTCTCAGACCGTGCGGGACCGGCCCTGCCCTTCAAGTTCAGACCCCATGGGGGCTGTCGGGAGGGGTGCTCCCGGCGCAGGCGTCTTCCAGCCGACTCCCCTCGAGCTGCGTTTTTTACGACCTGTTGGAGTCCGCAGTCCTGCAAGTCTCCTCTCCCCGGCGGAGAGACGCACGGGTGCCAGGGACCCAGGGCCTCCCACCAGGGCCCTTCTCCGCCGCCAGGGCGCGGCGGCCCCGCCCAGGCCAGCCCGGGGCGGGGGCCGGTTCCCATAGGGATTGCGGCTGGGGCGGCGGCGGGCACAACCGAGAGAGAGGCGGCGAGGCGGGAGCAGGGCCAGCCCGGCAGTCGCGGCGCCGTGAGTCCCGGGCGGGGAAGGCGCGCGGGCCGGGACGGCGGGCCTGGGTGCCACGTGGCGCGGCTCGAGGCTGCGCAGCACAGGCCGGGTTGGGGGGAGGGCGGCGGGGGGCGGCGGGACCGCACATCCCTGCCCCCAGGCGAGGCCCACCCGGGAGGCGCCAGGCTCCCCCACATGGTGTTTCGGCTAGTGTCTCCGTGCCCGAGGGAAATGAGACCCGAAATGAGAACCGGGGAAGCCCTGAGCCGGCTCATGTGTCTTAGATCGGATGAACTAGAACATTAAACAAGATAGATTATCTTACAGCTCGGTTCGTTTTAGGATGACGGGTTGCATTTTAACTCGCAGGATGTATACCGGGCGCTTAGAATTGGGTTACCGAGGGCAGGGAGCTCTAGGCTGTCATACCGGATCTCGTTGCCCTTGCGAGCTTTAAGGACACGGGTCGATTCCTAACTGGTTAACAAGTGCCCTTCTGTTCCAGGTGCTTGACAAAGAGCCATCGTTGAGTGGGGTTCTAGTTCAGTCTGTTCGAGCCAGTAGTCTATGTGTGACATTTTCAAACTATGTGAAGATCCGTTTTAAGATTTATTCCTCTATGATGGAGAAGTATGAAAAAATTGGGAAAATTGGCGAAGGATCCTATGGAGTTGTTTTCAAATGCAGAAACAGGGACACGGGTCAGATTGTAGCCATCAAGAGATTTCTGGAATCAGAAGATGACCCTGTCATAAAGAAAATCGCCCTTCGAGAAATCCGCATGCTCAAGGTAAATGGATTCTTTAAAATGAATTTTCAGGGTCTAAAAAATTAAAGGGAGTCGTGTTATGTTTAATAAATGTGTTAAGAGGTCGGGCGCCTGGGTGGCTCAGTGGGTTAAGCCGCTGCCTTCGGCTCAGGTCATGATCTCAGGGTCCTGGGATCGAGTCCCGCATCGGGCTCTCTGCTCATCAGGGAGCCTGCTTCCCTCTCTCTCTGCCTGCCTCTCTGCCTACTTGTGATCTCTGTCTGTCAAATAAATAAATAAAATCTTTAAAAAAAAAAAAAAAAAAATGTGTTAAGAGGCGGTAACATCTCCTTCCAAGGACGTTTGTCCTCAGTGACACAAGTGGGACGTCTATGTACAAGTTGCCAATTACTTGGGGTGGGGGGGACACCGGTGCAGGGAAAGGCGGAGATTCACTTTTGGAGATGCTGTGGGTGTTTCATTTTTCTTCCTCTCCCCCATGTCCACTCTAGACCTGGTTCTTCAAGAGCCATCAACTTCAGTTTGCTGGCATTCATGAGTGGTAAACTTCCAGGCCATGTTCTGCTGACATTCTCAGCCCATTAAGAGAATTAATCATTCACCTGTTTTCAAACTGCTAGGAAGCTGACAGGTTTTCTTTACACCTCACATGTATCTGCTGCTGAACATCATAATGTCTTTTCTCTAGAAAAAAAGATTCTATTTAAAGAAGTGAAATGATCGGGGGGCCTGGGTGGCTCAATGAGTTAAGCCTCTGCCTTCGGCTCAGGTTATGATCCCAATGTCCTGGGATCGAGCCCCACATAGGGCTCTCTGCTCGGCGGGGAGCCTGCTTCCTCCTCTCTCCTCTCTCTCTGCCTGCTTGTGATTTCTGTCAAATAAATAAATAAAATCTTTAAAAAAAAAAAGTGAAATGATCACTTTTAAAATGTTTGTTAACCCTAGAAGACTGTGAAATCAGAGTGGTAGAAAAGGGTGTTTGTTACATGCTGAGAGCATTTTTTCCTATAGTAGAAAAAGGCTGCTTTTCTGAATTTCTGTGAGAATGAAACCCAAATCCCAACATAGAGTGCGACATGTAATGAGCACAGTGGGGTTAACTTGCTTTCAGATAGTTAGGGCCTCAGTGTTCGGACATGTGTAACCAACTCTGTGACGAGGAAAGAGCTACCAAGTGGGAGGTGAGAGGAGCATCCAGGGGATTTTCTCTTACCCCTTCCTATTTTCTCCAAGGCTTTCTGCACATCTCTCTTCCCCATGGCTTGAAATGTGTGGTGTTATCTCTGGATAAGGAAACTGAATGTGAATTAGCAGGCTTTGGATAAATTTAAATGGGGGGATAATCTCTTTCTGTTTGGGGTGTTCTTTACCAGCAAGATCTTATCTGCTCTGAGAAGATACTTCCAAGGTTCCCCTACCCACACCCCAAGAGGGCTCCCCGGGAAGGGGTAAGACCAGCGGTATTTGCCCATCCCATGGCCTGGGGACCCTATGGGGACAGGTTCTCCCCCTTTCTTTTGGGTGTTTCCCACTTTCTCAGGTTCTCCCTAGAGGAAAAAGCAATAACTGAGTTTCGAAGGACTCTTTTACTCCAAAGAAAAGACAATCTGTTTCTAGTGGAAAGATAGCCTTTCTAATTCCGAAGATCACCTGTGAATGCACAATACTGGGTTTCCAAGTGTAGCTCCCTGTGTTAATTGAGTTCCTCCAGGATGGGAACCTCTGTTTTTCTGTACGAATTACTAAGTGCTTAGTAGGCCTCCAATACATGTTACTGTAAATTGAAAAAAAAAAAAATGGTTAACAAAATAAACTCTTAGCAAGAGTGGTTGTTGCCAATAAATTAGGAAGTCAGATGTGTTCTCTTAAATAACCGAATATTGATGCTACCTGAAGGAAAGGGTTGTGTGTACAAGGGCCTGATTTTGAAGCACAGAGCACCCCATTCTTCAAAATCAAGTGCACAGATGTAGACCCTCCCTATCTATATGAGGTGATGGGACTAGATTATGGATAGAGTCCATTATTCAAAGCCCTAACTTTTCAGCATTCTGTGATATCCCCAATACATAACAGGTACTTAAATATTTGCTGAAATGGTGAATTGGAAGTTTCTTGAATGAAGAATTTAATTATAATTATTTAATTATTCAGTTTAATTTAATTTAATTATAATTATTTAATTATTCAGTAAATATGCATAGAGCCTCCTTGTGCCTAAAACAATGTTTTTTTTGTTTTGTTTTGGTTTGTTTTGTTTTTGTTTTTTTTAGTTTATTAGAGAGAGAGGAGGATAGAGCACTTGAGCCGGGGGTGGGGTGGGGTGGAGGGGTAGGGACAGAGGGAGAGAGAGAATTTCAAGCACACTCCCCTGCTGAGTGTGGAGTCTGACCCAGGTCTCAGTGGTAGGATGCCAAGGTCAGGACCTGAGCCGAAACCCAGGGTCAGACCCTCAACCAACTGGGCCACCCATAAACAATGTTTATATGAAATGGAACACGTTGTGTTTCTGATGCTTAACCATGGAAGGGAAATAAGATAAATTTCCCCTTGGCTCTCACTCCTGATAAACTGGCTTCCTGATGAGCAGGGTCTGTGTCATTTACTTGTGTCTCCAGGCCTGGCAAGAATCCTCTAAATAAAGTATTTAGGGGCGCCTGGGTGGCTCAGTGGGTTAAGCCTCTGCCTTCGGCTCGGGTCGTGGTCTCAGAGTCCTGGGATCGAGCCCCGCGTCGGGCTCTCTGCTCAGCAGGGAGCCTGCTTCCCTTCCTCTCTCTCTCTGCCTGCCTCTCTGCCTACTTGTGATCTCTGTCTGTCAAATAAATAAATAAAATCTTTAAAAATAAATAAATAAATAAATAAAGTATTTAGAGGCATGTTTGAACTAGACTTTGAAGTGTTTAGGGAGGCATGGAATGAGAAATAAGGCATTCAGGACAGAGAGTCTCTCCTAGGAAAAAGTACATACGTGGAAAGCAGTATATTGAGGGAACACAGGTTATAACTGTAAAATTTTAGCCAGGATTGCCTGCTGGGTGCTACCAGGCCAGGAAGAGAAGGAAAGAACGCCAGGGCTCAGTAGAAGGAGGTGGGAGGAATTTCCTGGAGTAGAGGTCTACTTTGCACAAAGCTACACCTTGGTACCAGGTGGCCTTTTGGGTCTGGAGGTTGACTCCAGGGGACATACTATAGTCCCCCAAACAGGAAAAAACTGGTGACATCTAAGCAAGTGTTTTAGGGCCCCCATCTGAGCCAGAATTTAAGGGACAACTCCAGTGGCCTGTGGGAAGA